GGAAGGCCACCATTCTCCAACAAAGCATTTCAATAGACAAGGTGTTTTCCCGGCGAAAAAATCTAGATGAACAGAATTGGATTTTTGCACCTTTTTTACTTCCAAACAAACGATTAACAAACACGATCCACACCTCTTTGAACAAAGTTCAAACAAGGGTGTTCGATGTTCTTGATGATCTACGAGGCAAACTAAATTACATTAACTCTACTCCTATGGAGGTTCAGTGAGAGCTCCAAAACTACGACTATGGCTAAAGTTGCAGAGGAAAAGATAAAAGGATAAAAGTTGGCATTGTGTTGTCTGGAGTGATTTTGGCGAACCCTTCCTCTGTCATCTTCACCTCCTATTTATAGCCACCAAAAGTAACTGCCCCAAGAAACTGCTCTGCTGAATTGGAGTGACAATTACCCTCTCAACTGCTATGACGGTTACCCTGATATTGGATGTGGGATCCTCTTCAGTCTTGACCCCCTCCTCTTGAGACCTTAACCTCTGCTCTTGGCATCTCCTCCGTAGTTTTGCTTATCCATAGAGTAAAAATGCCTAAGGCATAAAAGGAATACCACTTACCACATATGGGTAGGTATTTGAATAACACGAATTAAAAATGGCAAAAAGTACTTCACCATTAGTAGAGTAAAGAGACCACGTGCTTACATGACCCCCTTGCCTTGGACATACCATGGGGGTGTACGTTGGTGACCCCCTCACCATACCACTGGGCATCCTTCAATGGGAACCATATGGATCACCCCCACCACTATATCATCCTCATGGGAGCCGGCGTTGGTGACCCCCACCCCCTGATCATACCATGGGGGTGGTATGTTGGTGGTCCCCAGACCACCTCATAGGGGGTACTCCTTGCCACCCTCATCATCTTCCATACTTGGTACCTCCTAGGGGTGTTGGTATGATGCTCACACCCTAACCACGTCCTGTGGTTGGCTCCCATACTCCTCGCCTTAGCCAAATTCGGCCATCACCCCCTCACCATATCATGGGGGTGGCGGTATGATGCACACCCCCTTGGCACGTCCTGGGGGTGGTATGATGGTGGCAACCCCCCTTGGTACCTATTGGGGGTGGTGGTATGATGTCCACCCCCCTCACCATGTCATGGGGGTGGTATGATGGTGGCCAGCCCCCTTGGTACCTCTTAGGGGTGGTGGTATGATGCCCACCCCCCTCACCATGTCATGGGGGTGGTATGATGGTGGCCACCCCCCTTGGTACGTCTTGGGGGTGGTGGTATGATGCCCACCCCCCTCTGCGTGTCATGGGGGTGGCTCCCATACTTAGCCAAATTTGGATATGTATGGCGCGCGTGATGGTACAGAGTAATGAGCCCAAAAACCCAATCCTAGTTGCCATCTTAGTCGATTTAATTGTTATAATTAAGTTGGCCTTATAAAATCATTTAATTCCTTGTTTTTAACCAATGTGGTACCCCAACTACTTAGTTCATAAGAATCATGGACTAAGTAGTTTCACACCAACTAGGCCATCAAACTCAAATAGGTGGCCTTACAATTTAAATGACCAAAATAGTCCCAATTTCTTCTCCTTTGCTGCCGTGTGGGAGGAAGGAATGGAGTCAAACATAATTATTCCATAGTCCTTCCATCTCTACACAACCGTACCCCTAATGCCACTGTCACCAACAACACTTATGGTCACTCTTAAATCACACGGCGTGGTATCTTTTGAAGTTATTGGGCTAGAACAACATCATGCCGCCCGCCCTATTTAATCCAAACTACTACTAATCATACCCCATGCCCTTCACCATCACCTCCATGTCTTGTCATGAGGTATAATGTTCACACCTTACAAAATTTTAAAGTTCGGCATGGTTAGGCCACCTTAATGGCCTGACAATACGAGTAATGATTGAGGCTTACCAGTCGTGGCAAGATTCTCACATAAAAACCTACTAACTTCTTATGAAACTTGCCACTTTGGAATTTTAAATATATATATATATATATAGCCATGATGGGCTTTTCTATATTAATTAATATTTTTTTTTACTTTTTTTTATTGCATATAATAAGTAGTTACAAACATCATTGATCTCCATACCCTTTGGCAATAACCAAAGTGCCAAAGGTATACATCCACTGCCAAGTCCATGTATTAAACCAAACAAGCCAACCATACACCATATGACCATGGTTGTTCAAAGGAGATGATTCTTCACAAGCTGACTTTGAATCACCCCCTACACAATTTTTTCCCTTCTGACCCTTACCATCACTTTGGACTTGGACATGCTTGCCTTTGTCAGACACTATTACTTTGGAACCCGTGGTCATAGAGTTGTCCACCCCAATACTAGCATGACCATCCTCATTTTTTGTGATGGCCCCACTATCTCACCAGGTGCTACTGGGTATTGCCCCTTTCGTGCTTTAGCATTCTTACGTAGGAATCTCCTCCTTTGAGTCCTTGTCATCCCCCCAATAGCTACTGGTTGACTATGCATATCTTAAGTATGCCCCCCTCCTTGTGTCACATTGGGCATCTTGGAAGTCCTTCTCATGGGAAGAGGTCCAAGTGACACCCATTGCCTTATTTGCCCCCATGTCGGTTGAATGACCCCCCTCTACTTGTCTTTGATAGGATGGGTATCTCGGCCTATGGGGCGGGCCAATTCTTTGTTGGACTGGTCGATTCGGTTTCACTTCATCAAGTCTAAGATTCCTTTTGCATTGGGAACATAGCTTCTCCACCTCACTGGACACCTTAGACGCAGCCGAGTTGGCCTGCTTTCCCATCGATGACTCCCCCTGTCCAACCACTACCTTGGGGATCCCTTGTTGCGGTGTTGTATCTAACACCAGTTTGAAACGAGGAAGCTCAATCTTGGAGAAGTCTGAATTAACCATGTTAACACCAAGCACGTTGCGAAGCGGGTTGGTATCCACCATCATGGCATATTTCTTTGGCTCGGGGAGCTTGATGCGACCCTTCTCAATAGCATCCTGATGAGAAGCAGCTCTAGCCTCCTCCATCATGCGACGGTTCTCCACCATCATTTGGAAGTTCTCCTCTATGGCTTGACGATTCTCTGCCACCAGCTTGCGGTTCTCCTCCATCATTTGACGAAAGACCCCCACTGCTACACCAATACCTCCACTAGGCGTCGCCATTGGTAGGATCTCTCCCCACCAATGTTTCCGGCCACCGCCTCTAACACTTGGCCATGTTCAATGTTGGCCACCTGCTCCTCCACAAAACCAGCTCGAGCGTCACCTTCTTGATTCCTCTGCTTCGGAGCCATCAAATTGAACGTGTCCCACCAGGTGTGCCAATTTGTTTTCCCGGCGAGAAAATCTAGATGAACAGAATTGGATTTTTGCACCTTTTTTACTTCCAAACAAACGATTAACAAACACGATCCACACCTCTTTGAACAAAGTTCAAACAAGGGTGTTCGATGTTCTTGAGGATCTACGAGGCAAACTAAATTACATTAACTCTACTCCTATGGAGGTTCAGTGAGAGCTCCAAAACTATGACAATGGCTAAAGTTGCAGAGGAAAAGATAAAAGGATAAAAGTTGACATTGTGTTGTCTGGTGTGATTTTGGCGAACCCTTCCTCTGTCATCTTCACCTCCTATTTATAGCCACCAAAAGTAACTGCCCCAAGAAACTGCTCTGCTGACTTGGAGTGACGGTTACCCTCTCAACTGCTATGACGGTTACCCTGATGTTGGATGTGGGATCCTCTTCAGTCTTGACCCCCTCCTCTTGAGACCCAACCTCTGCTCTTGGCATCTCCTCCATAGTTTTGCTTATCCATAGAGTAAAAATGGCTAAGGCATAAAGGAATACCACTTACCACATGGTATTTGAATAACATGAATTAAAAATTGCAAAAAGTACTTCACCATTAGTAGAGTAAAGAGACCACGTGCTCACATGACCCCCTTGGCTTGGGCATACAATGCGGGTGTACGTTGATGACCCCCTCACCATACCATCGAGGCATCCTCCATGGGGGCCATATGGATCACCCCCACCACTATATCATCCTCATGGGAGCCTGTCTTGGTGACCCTCAGGTGGTATGATGCCCACCCCCCTCACCATGTCATGGGGTTGGCTCCCATACTCCTCGCCTTAGCCAAATTCGGCCATCACCCCCTCACCATATCATGGGGGTGACGGTATGATGCCCACCCCCCTCACCATGTCATGGGGGTTGGCTCCCATACTCCTCGCCTTAGCCAAATTCGGCCATCACCCCCCTCACCATATCATGGGGGTGACGGTATGATGCCCACCCCTCTCACCATGTCATGGGGGTGGTATGATGGTGGCCACCCCCCTTGGTACGTCTTGGGGGTGGTGGTATGATGCCCACCCCCCTCTGCATGTCATTGGGGTGGCTCTCATACTTAGCCAAATTTGGAGATGTATGGCGCGTGTGGTGGTACGGAGTAATAGGCCCAAAAACTCAATCCCGGTGGCCATCTTAGTCGATTTAATTGTTATAATTACGTTGGCCTTATAAAGCTATTTAATTTCTTGTTTTTAACCGATTTGGTACAAGGTTAATTTTTGGTGTAAACACAAGGCATCCACCAAACTCTCATTACTAATCCACTAAATTCGGAAGAAGACAAAAGCAAAGGGAAAAGTCTGCACTCTGGATTTCTCAAATAGCGAAGGCAAAGGAATGGGGTAGAAAGAGATGCACCAAAAGATCATGATTTCAGGAGAAAAACATATAACTCGGCAGAGATACTTTGGGCATAGGTGGACTACAGAAAAAATTATCCAACTATTCTAGATCGATATTTAAATCTAACACACTCCTATGTACTGCTTGGTTAAAGCCCATACCAATACTTCAAGTTCCCCGTAAAGCAAATGTTTTTCTTTGGAACACAACTCTTCTTGTCGTTCGAATGCTACAACTTATTGCTACAGAACCACATTGTCTGCCTCCGAAACACTTCTTCTGTGTTTCTTCTTGAACTGGGTTTCAAGGACTAAAAGCAATCTCTTTGAGTCGATTGATATCCCTGATGCTCAAGTACTTGGTAGAGTTGTACTCTTGCGCATCCAACAGCTCGTTAGAGTATGTCCTATGGAGGGCTCGCTTATGATCTTGCTTAGCACATTCCAATGCGTACTCGTCGCCTCTCAGCAGTATGGCTACCTGCAATAATGGAGAGAAATATAAACGAATAATGTCATTCGTTGTGCATCATCAGCATTCCACTTGATTTTGGTTCATGATGAACAACGATGATGAGTTTATCAGTAGGGCATAGATGAAAACAATTCTAGGACTATAGTAGGACTAGCATGGAAATGGGGCCAGAGAAATAAGGTTTTTCGTTTTTGTGTCCTTGCCTGACTCATACGAGGACGGAGGATGGGTGAATTCTCAATGCACAAAGAGGCTGTCAAAACCAAGCGATCCATCTCCTCTGAGTCGTAGTGTTTACCAAGAGAAGGGTCGACAAGTTCCGCGAGATCATTGTTGTCTAGCAATGGCTTTGCCTGCAAGTACACCCATTGCCTTTTTACATGCTCTAATGATATTGGGAGTTCGGCAAGCTTATGGCTGAAAAAACATTACCCAAATCACTAGGCTATGCTGTGCATCATCAACAGCTCTTCGGCCAGTTATGAGCTCCAAGAGTATGACCCCGAAGGCATAAACATCTGTCTTCTCATCGACTATGCCGTGCATGAAATATTCAGGGGCAAAGTATCTGCAAAGTTCAAACAATGAGACAAGTAGTTAAAACTTAAAAGCCAAACGAGCTGGATCACTTACTAGGAGAGTACAAGAAGAGATCGAAGCTTTTGCTATACTAACCCAAATGTTCCTTCAAACTTTGACACATTATGGTGAGACAACTGCTTTGGTAGCCACTTCGCTAGCCCAAAATCACATATCTGGATTGAACAATCAATTAACAAGGAAGATAATTCACAGAAATTAGCAACTCAAATACAGAGAAAGGCAGTTATGGTGAGAAGGGAGCTGTACTACAGCCAACATTATAATCTTTCCTATAAAGGTCAAGTATGACAGTAAAAGCTGTGGAACTTCTCACTCTCCTAGCCAAACGGAAGAGCAATTCAGCACATGCAAGATTGTAATACCAATTTCTGTCTACGGATGAGTAATAATCGGACTAATGAACTGATGAGAAACAAGTAATATGTTTGGCTAGAAGCATATGTCTTACCACCTAAGTGTAAATGTTGTGAAACCCCAAGTTCTATATTATTGATAAGCTGAATATATAATACACCATGGCAACAGACTGCCGAGTTTACAGTAAGCAAGAACAGAAACATGGCTGTAAAATAGGAACTAAAGATGGTGGAATGTAACAGAAAGTTGAATGAGTCAATAGTCCTTATCACTAAGTAGTGTATTTGTATGATCTTATTAAACAGACGGCCTATAGCACTAACTCATCGTAGGAAGCAGAACCTAGAGAATCCTTGGGCTGCACTAAAATTCTCTTAACATTTGCTAGTTTCAGGTTTTCTTAGATAAAACATAATTAGAGGGAAATGTTGGAGTTCTTCATCTGGCAGTTGGTTTTACTCAAGCACAACTCGAAAGATACCTGTGGCTCAAAATCCTCAGTAAGAAGGATATTGTCAACCTTTATATCTCTATGAATGATTCTCTTCCGGCAAGTCTCATGAAGATACAATATGCCATCTGATGTTCCCAGAGCAATTTTATATCTCTTACTCCACTCAGGCTTGACTTCTGATTCTGCATGCATTTTGTTTTTCAACAAATAAGTCATCAGTAATCACTCCATGACATTTCATAAATCTAGCAACAAAAGATAATTGGAAACAAACCATGAAGAACTGTTCTTAAACTCCCCAAAAGAGACAACTCAAAGACGAGATGCATCCCTCCTTCAACGCCACAACCGAGTAACTTAGCGGTGTTGGGGTGATCCACATGAGCTAGAATGCCAATCTCAGACAGGAACCCTGTTGTCTTTTCCTCATTTGTACCTTTGGTTAGGCGCTTGATTGCTACCAGATTTCCATCCGCCAAACGACCCTTGTAAACCTCAGCAAATCCACCCTTCCCAATTAAGTTATCTAAGATGGGTAAAATCACAACCTTCTCAATCAATGCTGAAGAGAGCAAACTATATGAAAACAACTCATTAAGAACCCATGAAAAACCCACCTTTGCTGAAATGGTTAGTTGCAGCTTTGAGTTCAGGATATGTAAAGTTCCTGAGTGAAGACTTAAAATTGTACAGGTCCCTTAGCACGGGATTCTCCCTCACGCTCCTGCTCCTCCTTGGAGCTTTCGGCATAGTCGGATGGGCTAATGCGGTTAGACGCTTAACCGGTCTCAACTTCCACACCTTGAAGAATTTTCTCCAGTGAGAATGTGTCTTTGAGTGTGCTTGTTTAGATACTTGCAACTCCTGATTGCTGGCTTCGGAATCAGGTTCCCATCCGTTCAAGCAGGCTTCTATCACTCCTCTTGGAGATGAAACATCTTGTATCTCCTTTTCCATAGCGAAGTTCCTCAGGTCTGGTATAAAAAGGACCAACAATTTCCAAGCATAAGCAACTGTATACCATGATGAACTTGACGCCAGGAGTATAGTAAACACATACCATGAGCAGAGGAATAAGATGACATCTTTGAGTTTGCTTTCTTCTTGAGTTTATTTACAAATTCTCCTTGATGTTTTAGGACTGCGATTTTGCTGTTCTCTTGTGAACCCTCCATCCTAGAATTTTATAACACATTGCAGACTCTCTTAGTTAGGAACATATTGAAGGAATAGAAACTCAAAAACAAATATAGAACATAGCTACAAAATTCTATTTGGAATTTTGTAAAATAAAATAAATTCTTCGTTGGAATAAAAACATATGTAAGGACATTTTTCTGTAATGGAGAAAACGGAACCAGAGAAATTGAAGAAGAAACAAAATCCCATTGAAGAACCCTAATGCCATACATACATACATACCATTGATGCTTATCATCAGTAGCAGAAAGGGCATAGAATTGAGCCATTTTTCCTCCTATCCAAACTTCTTTGAACAAAATTTTGAAACCAAGACGACAATGAGATCAAACAGAGAATCGGAGCCAGATTTCCCCTTCTAGTTTCAATCTCATCTCAAATTCTCAGCCAACCCACAAGCCAAACAAACCCGAGAGCTAATAATGGAAAATAGGCGAAAAGAAAAGCTCGAATTATACTTACCAGTCACCATCATCTTTCCCTTCTCTGTCTGTCCACACTATGGAATATGTTGTCTACATTTTTTGGGGCGAGATTAGGATTTTGGGGACATGAACTGGGTAGTAGCTGACAAGTGTTCAATGCTCTCTCTCAACTGTACGTGGCACCGGGCCGTGCCCTCCACGAGCTAGCACGGCACGGTTAGAGCACGGCACGAGCACGGGCACGGGCACGAAATAAATGGGCCAGCCCGATACGAGCACGAATAATTTATGGATTGTGCCGGGCATAAATTTTATGGACACGAGCACGGGCACGACACGGTATATAAGTGGGCCGTGTCAGGCCTAATATTTTCAGACTTTATTGAGTAGAAGAACGAATAAGACACGAAAATAATATTTATTTGATAGAAAATAGATATAAAAAGAATTATAGGTTCAAATATTACATAACACAAGTAGAAAAATAATTATTTGTTGTTGTTAGAAGTGTCATAAAGATATATACGTAATTACTAACATAAGTAAAAATGAACAAAGAATTAAACAAAACCAAATCACACTCGAAATACTTCCAATTTTCTTTCCCGCTCATTTGTTAGTTTCTCAAACATTATTGGTTAATACTATCTTACCCCGTCCAATTTTCACATTCTTTTTCATTCTCTCTTTTGTTTTCGTCCTTTTCATTAAACACGAATGGATACGACACGATTCGCACCGTGTACAAAGTTGACAAATGAGCTTGCATGGCACGACATGAAATAAATGGGTCTGAAGCGTGCCAGTGCTGGCCCAAGCACGGCCTAGCACCCATGTACACTCTCAACCGACTTCTCTATCTCGAATTAAAAGCTCTACTGCTCCCAATTCCCTAACCAAGCGAAAAAAATAAAAAATCATTGAGACAATGGCATTGCCATACTTCGTTAAACCCATTAAAAGGTTTGACATTTCTTGCTTTCTGTTTCCTGCGAAACCAAATACTACCGCCAGGCATGCCAAAATCGTTTCGAGCGATGTTGATTTGATTGTTTCACGGTGGAAACTCTTGTGATGTTGTTTGATCTAGGGCTGTCATTTCGATTTCCGGTTAGCGGCTAACCGGCCGGTCTAACCGGTAACCGCCGGTTAGCGGCTAACCGAAAACCGAAGGAAATCACTCTCGGTCGGTTGTCGGGAATTGGGTCTGGTCAGGCGGTTAGCCGAATAACCGAAGTGGTTTAACCGGCTAACCGGCTCTAACCGACCGAGATATACGACGTCGTTTTGGCCTCTGAGAAACGACCCTAACCCTAGTCACTCGCGTCAATCGTCGATAGCCGCCAGACTCATCCCTCTCGTTTTCCTTCCTCCTCCTCTTCCTCTCGTTACTGGCGAAATCCTCAGAGACATCGTCGGCCATCGTTGGCCAGAGCACAGCCGCCAGCACGCCATCGCCGGCAGCGCCTCCAGTCGCCGAGCCACCCTCCAGTCCGCCAGTCGCCGAGCCATCCTCTGCCGCCAGCCCGCCACCATCCAATCGCCGCCAGTCACGATTCGTCAGTCGCCAGTCACCAATCGCCGCCACCAGTCACCAATCGGTCGCCGCCAGCCCGCCAACACCCTCCAATCGCCGCCACCCTCTAGTCCGCCACCCGCCAGAGTCCAGTCCGCCATCCCCGCGCGGCGGCGCCTCCATTCCACCATTCCTCCATCTCTCTCCGGTTTTCGTTCGGTTTTTAGTCTATTTTTGGGCGGTCTTCGGTTGGTTAGGACAGCAGGCCGAACCGTCTCGTTCTTTCTCGGTGGCGCCGGTTTAACCGTGGATTAACCGAAACCGCCCGGTCGGTTTTACAGATAACCGATGCACAGGGTCGGTCGGTGGGCGGTAGGGGCTGGTCTGATCTCGGTTTAACCGAAAACCGACCGGTTGACAGGCGTAGTTTGATCGGATTGTAATGAGTGAGAGTTTAATTGTATTAGGATTTAGTTACGATACCAATTAGTAATTTGGTTGTTATATAAATAGGAGTGTAAGGAGCCGCAAAAGACTATCGAATAATCAATTTACATAATCTCAATCTTTCTCTACTCTCTCATCTCCCCCTTCCTTCTTCCTTCCTCTTCAACTTCTATGATATCTTCTTCCCTCCTTCTTCCTCCTGCATACCTCTGTCTCTCTTTTAGGCCTGTCAAAATGGGTTCGGTTTTTCGGTTTAACCCGAACCCAAACCGGTAGTAAGTGTCTTCGGTTTCGGGTTTGCGGTTTCAACCCGAGAAAGTCACATCCGGTTTCGGTTCACCTAAACCCGAAAACCGAAGCTCCTCTGCGCATCTGCGGAGCGGAGCAGGCCGCACTGCACTTTGGAGACGAGCGTGAGGTCCGACTTCTTGCGGAGGGAGGAGGAGGACATGTTGTGCGCCGTCCGGCCGTGGTGGCTGTGGCCGTGGCCTTGACGCGCCTCCTTCGTCAGCACCTTATAGCTGCCGTTCTCCAGCAGCCACGACGCCGTTTCTTGCTGGATCGGAGGAGCGGCCATTTCGCCCGAGGTTTTCGATCAGCTACGTTACGTTACGCGCTGCTCTCTCTCTCTCTCTCTCTCTCTCTCTCTCTCTCTCTCTCTCTTTGTTTCTGAAAGTTTCCAGTGACGGGATGATGAGTGAGAGAGAAGATGCGCAGAGTTATAAATAGGATGCTGAATTTTGAAAGAGAAGATGCGCAGTCACAAAAGTAAAAAAAAAATAACTCAAACCGGTTCGGTTTCACCCGAACCAAATAAACCCGACACATCAATTTCGGGTTCTAGTACCCGAAACCCACAAAAGTGCAGTGCGATTCGGTTTCGGGTTGTGTGGGAGCAGGTTCGGTTTTTTCGATTTTCACGGGTTTCGGGTTCGGTTACCCGACCCGAACCGAACCGACAGGCCTACTCTCTTTTCATTTCTCAATTACTTCTCCTTCTCTCCAATTCAATACTACTTTCTCGCTGGAATTGATCCTTTCCCGACCTCAACCATTACAACTTGGTATTAGAGCACTTTTTCCGGAAACAATGGCAGGGCCTTCGTCTCTTTCATCGATTGAAGGTCATCACTCTCTCAATGCTAGCTTCAACGACAATATCAAGTTACTTCTGGCAAAGGTTACGGAAATGCAGGATGGTTTGATCGAATTTCGAGACTCTCCGACCTACCGTGGAAATCGTTCTGTCTGTCCTGCTCCACCTGCCGCTGACTATTGTGGCATCCTCAACAAACAATCTGCTCCCACATCATCAGAATTAGATGGAGGTCGTGGTATGGTTGGCAATCCATTGCCTGTACTGTCGATGGAGACAGGAAGGGATCGGAGTGTCCCACTTCTGATTCTAGAAAATCAGCCACCAACTGCTCGACGAAATGTCGAACTGAAGGTTCCCACTGCTACAAGTCTTTCTCCTGCCGCAGCTTCTTTTCCAACAGGAATACCAGATCAGTTAATCCACTGCCGCCAACGTCAGGTGTGAGTTTGTTGAAGACTTGTTATCGCCTTCGTGATCCGGTTCTCCAACGTTTCATTGTTGCACCTGAAATCCACGACCAAGCTTATGGTAACTCCACTTCTGTCCTGCCTTTGGAAATTCAGCCTTTCAATGGGGAGAACCCTAACAAATGGGTTAGGCTGTCTGAGAACTGGTTTAGATTGTACGGTATCCATGAGCATGAGAAAGTTGATACGGCGGCAGTTCACTTAGGGCGTAGGCCAGCTGACTGGTTCGAGAAATGGAGTTCAAGACGTCCTGTCTTGGATTGGAGTAAGTTCGCGGCTGCTCTATGCAGACGTTTTGGACGGTTTGGATGGTACATAAACCCGGCTAAGAAACCCGTCCATGAAACTGTATTGAAGGAGGACTTTACATCATTTGCGGAGAAACTTAAATGGGATTCTTATGTTGTTTTTGGTGAGGATGTGCACAAAGAAGTTACACCAATTTTCAGTCTCAGGATAGTACAACTGATAGTGGTACATAACAAACTAGCTACTGCTAGGGTTTGTGAAGAAGAGAAACGGCACAAAAGTGGGGAACGCGCAAGAGAGCAAGGGATCTCTCTGCTGATCTATATATACTGAACTGGAAATGTAATCCTCAAGTTACAAATGCTGGAACAGTAAAAACGGAAATGTAAAACTGAATTTTAAAGTTACAGTAATGGTAAAGCGCCAGATGGCGGCCAATCATTCGCTCAGTGAAAGTCCACTCAACGGTAACTCCGAAACTCCACAAACGGCGTCGCTTTGTCTCTTCGTTGTAGTTGAGTGGAGGGAACCCAGAAACGAAACGTTTCTGGGTTAGTTCTTCTCTGTTCCAGTTCTGCACTTCACATCTGCAGATTCTGATCTTCTTCTTCCTCGATTGATACTCCCCCACAAGCTGATGAGTATGCATTGCTTACTCCCAGCTTGTCTAACAAGAACTTCAGTCTATATCGAGTCATCCCTTTCGTGAATAAGTCTGCTACCTGATCATCAGTCCTTACATGATATAGCTTGATCAAACCAGATTTAATTCTCTCCCTTGTAACATGGCAATCGATCTCTATATGTTTCGTTCTTTCATGAAAAACTGGATTTTCAGCAATATGCAAGGCAGACTTATTGTCACAGTAGAGTGGAATGGGTAATGGTACCTTAATTCCCATTTCAGACAGCAAATTCCTCAACCACTGCACTTCACAGACAACCTGTGCCAAGGCTCTGTATTCTGCTTCTGAAGAGGATCTAGAAACAGTAGTTTGTTTCTTTGTTTTCCATGTGATCAAGGAGGTTCCCAGAAAAGTACAATAACCAGTAAGGGACCTCCTGGAATCAGGGCAGCTTGCCCAATCAGCATCACAAAAGCCAGATAATTCTAACTTTGAGTCTGCTCTAAAAATCAGTCTCTGCGCAATTGTTTGTTTCAAGTACCTGATCACCCTGTGAGCTGCTTGCAGGTGTTCAACACAAGGTGCTGTCTGAAACTGTGCTAATTGCTGCACAGCATAAGTAATGTATGGCCTTGTGATTGTAAGGTAGTGTAACTTACCTACCAGTCTCCTGTAGACACTAGGATCTGACATGAGCTCACCCTGTTCTGCTGAGAATTTTGAATTGCAGTCCACTGGTGACAAACATCCTTTAGCCTCTACAAAGCCTGTGTCATTAAGCAATTCCAGACAATACTTTCTTTGGCTGACTGATATTCCCTTGTGATCTCTGATCACTTCCAGACCCAAGAAATAGCTCATTTGTCCTAGGTCCTTGACCTTAAACTCCTTACTCAAGAACAGTTTCAACTATTCTATATCTCCCAGGCTGCTTCCTGCAATTAAAATATCATCAACATACACAAGAACAACCACTACTCTTCCCTGTATCCACCTCACAAACATTGAATAGTCTGAAGCTGTTTGTGAGTACCCATTTTTCATTAAAGCAGCAGTGAGTTTTGCAAACCACTGTCTGCTTGCCTGCTTCAACCCATACAATGACTTCTTGAGTTTGAAAACTAATCCTGAATCCTTAGGAACATCAACACCAGGAGGGATCTCAAGGTAAACTTCTTCATCCAAATCACCATGTAGAAAGGCATTAGACACATCCATCTGATGAATGTGCCAATCTTTAGAAGCTGCCACTGCCAACAATGTCTTAACTGAATTAATTTTTGCAACTGGTGAATAAGTGTCAAGGAAATCAATTCCATAGATCTGAGTATATCCTTTTGCCACTAAACGTGCTTTAAACCTTTCAATAGCACCATCAGACCTATATTTCACCTTGAAAACCCACTTAGCACCTATAGGTTTCTTCCCTGCTGGTAGTTTGACAACTTCCCAAGTTTGGTTTTCATACAAAGCAAAAATCTCTTACTTACAGGCCTGGTTCCATCTAGGATCTTTACATGCCTCAGCATAGGAAGTAGGTTCTTCAATAGATAAGACATTGAGAGCAAATGCTTTCTGAGAAGCAGTCAAATGCTCATAGGTGGCCTGATGAGAAACATGGTGTTTTGAACTAGAAGAGGCTACCAGACTGACATGATAGTCTTTATGCCAGACTAGTTTGGTGTGCTGTCTTTTAGATTTCCTTAAGAATTCAGCCTCATCTGTGTCATTAAGGTCAGGAATGACCTCAATCTCCATATCCTTCCCCTCAGATTGCAAACTGACATTGTTGTTTAAGGAACTGGTTGGTGGGGTAGGATGAGAAGAAGAAGAGGGAATAAGGGGGGAACGGACAGGGTTGGTAGTAGAAGAAGGAAAGTTTGCAGGCTGATGATGAGATGAGGTAGATGGGAGAGATGTATCAGTAAGAGGAATAGATGGACAGTGAGGAAAAATAGGGTCTGATATAGGAGTGTCAGGTGAATGAGTTTCAGTGGAATGAATAGGGAAATGAAAGGGTAAGATGGATTCATAAAATATCACATCTCTGGAAACAAATAGAGTTTGAGAATTCAGGTCAAACAGTTTAAAGCCTTTAATACCACTAGGATATCCAAGGAAAATGCACTGTCTTGCCCTGGAATCAAATTTAGTCCTATCTCTATGCAAAGTGGAAGCATAGCAGAGTGAACCAAATACTTTTAGGCCATTGAGGTTTGGTGGTTTTTGATAGAGAATTTCATAGGGTGACTTATCAGCTAGAACTGAGGAGGGAAGTCTGTTTATCAAGTAAACAGCATGTAGAATACAATCACTCCAAAACTTGAGGGGGATGCCAGATTGAAACCTAAGAGATCTGGCTACATTGAGGATGTGCTGATGCTTCCTCTCAACTCTAGCATTTTGCTCTGGAGTTTCAACACATGACTGCTGATGGATAATACCATTAGCACTGTAAAACTCAGCCATGTGAAACTCAGAGCCTTGATCACTTCTAATAATCTTAACTTGCTTAGAAAACTGTCTTTCAACCATGGTGCAAAAAGATTGCAACAAAAGACCAGCTTCAGATTTAAATTTCATTAGGAACACCCACACAGCTCTATAGTAATCATCCACCAAAGTCAGAAAATAAGAAAATCCATCATGAGACTTCACAGCCAATGGCCCCCATATGTCTACATGGATCAATTCAAAAACATCTAGAGCTCTGCTAGAGCTAACAGGAAAGGAAAGACGTTTGTGTTTAGCAAAGTGACAAGTCTGACAATGGGAAACTACATCACTATTACAAGGTACTGTTTGTTTCTCCTTTTCCTTGCTGGGATGTCCTAGTCTCCAGTGCCAGAGGGATATGTTTTGTGGTTGAAAGTTGTATGAGAAGGCTGCTTGTGGGACAGGTAAGATGTATGCTTTGTTCTTGGTGTGTAACTGGTATAATCCTCTACTCTGTCTTGCCAAACCAGTCCTTTTCTGAGTCACCAGGTCCTGAATTTGACAAGAATCAGATTCAAAGTGTAAGGATATGGGTTGGTCATTAGTCAGTTTGCTAACTGATATGAGATTAAAGGTGAAACTTGGCACAAGGAGAACATTGTCTAGGGCTAGGTCAGGAGATAATTGAACCTTTCCTATATGACTAACCACCACCTTGGTACCATTAGGCAGATTAACAAACTGATTATTGACAGGCTCAGCTTTGGTGAATAAAGCTATACTACATGCTATGTGATTAGATGCCCCAGTGTCCAAAATCCAAGTATGCATAAGAGAATCTGCTCTGTGTTGTTTGAAAGATGACAAGATAAACTTACCAGCATAGTTAGGGAACTGAGTAATTCCATGAGTGACTGAGAAAGCCTGGTGGTTAACTGAAGGTGAAGCTGGTGGAGAAGGGCTGGGGGAAGGAACACTCTGCAGTAGATATCTCAGCTTGCTAAGTTCCTCATATGAGAAACTTAAATTCTCTTTGGAAGACACACTCCTAGACTCTGAACTGGGTTTGAAGTCTGAACTGGAGGTATCACTGTCATGAGAAGATTCACCCTGAGAAACTGCAGCTGCAACTCCTCCAGACATCCTGAGTTTCTTGTTCTTCAATTTCCAGCATTCTTCCTTCACATGACCTTCTTTCATACAGTAACGGCAGAACTTCTTTCCATCTTGGTCTTCTCCAGGGACAGCTAGAGCAACTGTTTGCACACCTCTTGTAATGCCCTTATCTGCCTTCAACTTTTGTTCATGTTGCAATACATCATTGATTGAAACTTCAACGGTGGGAAGTGGTTTCATCATCAGAATTTGTGTGTGAACCACATCAAACTCTGGTCGAAGACCCTTCAAGAATCTTATAAGATAATCAACCTCCTACTTCTGCTTGAAAGCCTCAACTGCTGCACATGGTTGTGTTCTCTGTGGAGCACAATTACAATCCACTATAGGATTAAATTGCAGGTGCTCCTCCCATAACCCTTTCAGGGCAGTGTAGTATTGGGTAACATTGAGGTTTCCTTGCTTGCAGGCAATAATCTGGTCTCCCAGATTAGACAGTTTGATGGCATTAGCATACCCAAAACGAGCCTTGAGCTCTTCCCACAAATCTCGAGCAACATCATGCTGCATCACAACTTCTTCTTATCTCCTTACTCACAGAATTCAAAATCCAACACAGGACTAAGGTATTACAGGCATCCCATGTACTGTAATTAGGACTATCGATTCCTGGAGATGGAATCGAGCCATCAATGAAACCCACTTTGTGCTTAGTCTTAAGAGCCATTCTCATAGCTCGTTGCCACATTTGGTAATTAGACCCATCTAATGCTTCTGAAACTATGGCTTGAGAGATGTTTTCATTGGGATTAACATAGAAGGGATTACCAAATTGGGGATCTGGACGATCGTTGTTGTTGTTGGTCGTCGTGCTCGCATTGCCAGAAGCCATACCACTGAAGGAGCCAAAAGGAATAGCTCCAGGAGGAGTGTTTGGTGGTGGCGTCCCAGCCATCGAAGGTTTCTAGATCTGAAACCGCTCTGATACCATAACAAACTAGCTACTGCTAGGGTTTGTGAAGAAGAGAAACGGCACAAAAGTGGGGAACGCGCAAGAGAGCAAGGGATCTCTCTGCTGATCTATATATACTGAACTGGAAATGTAATCCTCAAGTTACAAATGCTGGAACAGTAAAAACGGAAATGTAAAACTGAATTTTAAAGTTACAGTAATGGTAAAGCGCCAGATGGCGTCCAATCATTCGCTCAGTGAAAGTCCACTCAACGGTAACTCCGAAACTCCACAAACGGCGTCGCTTTGTCTCTTCGTTGTAGTTGAGTGGAGGGAACCCAGAAACGAAACGTTTCTGGGTTAGTTCTTCTCTGTTCCAGTTCTGCACTTCACATCTGCAGATTCTGATCTTCTTCTTCCTCGATTGATAGTACATCCAACAATTCAAGTATGTTTCAGTCTCATGACTATATTGCCAGTGATGAGATGTGGAAACCTATTTTTAGCAACAATTTGTCAGGGGATCAGACGTAGGTGGCTGAACATATGCAGTTAAACATGGGTGAAAGGGATGTGTTGTTTGCACACGCTTTGGATATGGGTCATTCACTATTGAAGAAATTGGATGTTAGTACTGGCTCCATTGGAAGGGTAGGAGCTCATTCGCTGACTAAAGTTGTGATTCAGAAGCTGGTTTTCAATCTCAATTCAGTGCAACCAGGCAGAGCTTTCTATAACAATGGGAGTTCGATGCAAGGTTTACACCCAATGTTGTTTGTCCGAAGTGGAAGCAATGAAGCACTGATATCATCTACTGGGAATAACAATAAGAATATACAGGTTTATGCACTCACAGTTCAACCTGCAGACCAACCCCTTCCAGTTTATAGGAACCAAGGGTCAATTATGAAGAATGAAGCGCAAGCTCGAGTGATTTCGCTTGGTGTTTTGAATCCTTACCAGGAAAGGTGGGCTATCAAAGCTAGAGTGAAGTTTAGAAGAAGGGAAGTTTGTTCCAACTTTAAGGAGCCCTATAAGGATTTTTCTGTTTCCAGTGTTGGCTGTGTTTGGTAAAGGGTGCTATACGAATCACAGTGGTGATGATTACTGATGAGTGGGCTGCTACAATTTCTCCTTGTGCTTGTTGTTAATAGTTGAGAGGCTTCTTGGCTTTTGATGATAATTGATGGCAGCACGGAAGGATGTGGACTCCTAAGGGTAGTTGCTATTACAAGGGAGATGATTTTGTCCCATTGGACTTGAGTGTAATTGCTGTTGTTTCAATGTTTCATGCCATGTCACTGATTCCTGACTGTTCCTAGAATTGATATTGCTTACAGCTCATTTCCAATACCTAGAGGAAGCTGCTTGTGTCTACATTGGACCAGTTTGTGATTGTATGCAGGTTGTTATGTCTTACTTCAGTCGCGGAGTGTTGCATAGTCTTGCTACTGGATTGCTAGATAAGATGAGAAGTTCGTCATTGGTATGCGGCTGATATGTCTTACTTCAATTGTGGAGATAACAACAATTGGGTGGAGGAGCATCTAATCCGAGTCGCCAAAGTAATTACAACCTGGAGCCCTGTCTTCTACTCAGCCTATGATCATTTCTATTTCCGTACCAATTATTAATTTGGTAGTCTTCTGTAGTTCTTTAAACTCCTATTTCTATGACAACCAAATTAATAATTGGTACCCAAACTAAATCCTAGTACAACTAAACTCTCATTCATTACAATCCCGACCCCTTGAGGACAGACTGGTAGAAGACAGGGCTCCATTTTTGGTTTTCAGACTTAATGACCAGTCTGTCCTCAAGGGGTCGGGATTGTAATGAATGAGAGTTTAGTTGTACTAGGATTTAGTTTGGGTACCAATTATTAATTTGGTTGTCATAGAAATAGGAGTTTAAAGAACTACAGAAGACTACCGAATAATCAATGTACATAATTCCAATCTTTCTCTACTCTCTGTCTCCCCCTTCCGTCTTCCTTCTTCTTAAACTTCTCTTATATCTTCTTCCTCTCTTCTTATTCATGTTTACCTATGTCTCTCTTCTCATTTCTCAATTACTTCTCTCAAATTCAATACTACTTTTTTGCCGGAATTGAACCTTTCCCGACCTCAACCATTACACGGATGCACCATTGATTGCTGAAATCAAGACTACCTTCAATTATCCATCGGATGGTGTTGGTTTGATCGGTGCAAGTCTAACTTCTGAAAACAAAGACAATCGCCAAATATCCACCGGGTGGTGTTGATTAGATCGATGCACCTCTGACTTCTAAAAACCAAGACGATTGTTACTTAGTTCATACCTCTCCAAACAATGTTCGAACGAGGGTGTTTGAGTTTTTGGGGAATCTACGTTAAAAATAATCGTATGGAGATTCATGTGGAGAGCTCTGCGACTACGCTACCACTATAACTATAGAGATCCTTCCTGGAAGGAGAGCTCCGCGAAGGAGTTGCAGAGAAAAAAGATAAGTTTGGAATAGAGTTGTTCTGAGTTGATTTTTGGTTCTCCTCTCTCTCTCTCTCTCTCCTTTCTATGGTGCTTTTATCAAAATCACTTCCGTAGTCTTCACGCTGTGAAACCGCCTCACCTTAGTCTCCCACGTGCTCCATCCTTCTTCATGAAGTTGTAGTCTTCAACTGCTTCGCATATGTTCCCCAATCTCCCTTGCGTAAAAGTCACGTACTCACACATAAACTTTGTACCACAGTTTGAATCACGACATCGCCTTTGATTAAACAACATTGTTGTCTCACCCCTCGCCACCGCATATTCGCCGCAAGGTTATTGATCTCTGGGGTCTTCGACTACACAACCTCGTCGAAACTCGCAGCATCGTTGATCTCGCAGCCTTGCAACGTCGTTCTTACCTAAGTGACATCCCTTCATCGCAACGTCGTCGAAATATTCATCACTATAATTTTTTATTCTCCTTCCACGACACCGTTGGCCTTGTCAAATTCACAACCACTTACCAAGACTCAATGTGGCTTTCATTGAATTGCTCGACCCTCCAACCTAGTCATCAATTTCACTAAACTCGCGACATTGTTTTGGACAAAACAGCGTCGCTTTCCTATTCCATTACATTGTTAAACTCTTGCGACATTGTTTTCACCAAACACTGACGTGCTTTTAATCTCGCTACACTTTCAATAAGTGCCATAATCCATTAATTAAATAATTATTAATTTGGCCTAAAATTCACCAAATTGGCGAGACACATACATGGCCAAGTTTGGATAACTAAACACGCATCCTGCCAACGTACATAAGTGTGCCAAACATCCCCAATCGCAGCGGCGAGCCGGCGACGCCGCAACAGAATAGGACACACTTTGTCGCAACCCATGGTTACGCCCTTTGCTTGAACCCTTGGTCGCCTTCTTCTTCAAACTCCCTATCCTAGTGTTCCTTTTCTCCTCTGAATTCTCCAAATCTGATCACCTCTCTCTCCCTCGTCGTTCTTTGACGATCCATCAAATTCTGCCAGAAAACCCTAGAAGTTCAAATTCCACAAAAAAAAATCCTTTAACGATCCAATACTAAAATGCAGACAATTATAGTTCGGTTTGAATTCCAAAGTCTGGCGAGGGCACGAGGGGGGGGGGGACTGGACATAGCTACTTCACTGTATCAAGATCGGCGCCGGATCTGAAATGATGTACCTCGCTTAGAACACCCTCACAACAGGGGCACTTCATTTTCCAATCACTATTCGAAACCCGGTAGAATAGCCGACGTTGAACCAGGGGCGGCGATGAGGGCAGCCGCCATCGTCGTTGATCAGCAAACACGTAACAAAAGGGGAAAACAAAGATGCAGTGGGAGGAGAGAGGAAGTGCACAATGGAGATGAAGAGAGAGGGGAGAGAAAATAAAAACATTTTTTTCATTTAATTCTACCTCATATTGTTATCGACAAATCGTTGCCAATTCTGCATTTTCCATCAAATCAATTGACAAGCTTCATAAACATACATGTATTATCTGCATAAATGATTGATCCTTATGTATGTATGTGTTTAAATTGCTCTAAATTAGTTCATATTGACCATGGAATGACCCTAGTGTCATTACCAAGACATGTTGTGATTTAACGCAGATTGAAGCTAAGATTGTGAACAAAACAAAGTCATGTGGACGAATGCATGTGCACTGGCAAAGTGCAGAAGTGCAGGGGGTAAACGTCCAGCAGGACGCCAAACCGATAAAGACACAAATTGAATTATTGTTGGTTGGAATCTTTACTCAACTGTTAGTAACCCTCAGAAATTATTGGGATTTGATCAGCTTTCTTGAAGTGAGCAAATGGATTTGGTGGCTCACCAATAGAGAAAATGATGCAAGAATGTATTGCAAAGAAAGAGACTTAAGCTGGCAGCAGCTTTCTCTTGGAAATGGGAGCTGAAAGTGCCTTGTTTTGTGGGAGAAAAATCTGCATAAATTGGGCTTAAAAGAGACAGAAAAAAATACAACAAGAGGAGAAGCTTTGCAGAAACTTTTGGAAATAGATTTTGGAGAGAAAAATAAAAGGAGAGGCTCACTTTGGCACACTTTGGAGTTGAGCATTTTGAAGAAAGGAAGACTGTTGTAAGTTGGGTATTAACTTCAACACTTAGTACTTTCTCTACTCCTTTGTTTGGGTAATTAGTTGTGATGTTGAACATTATCATGTTTATGTTCTTTCTTTTCATCATGAACTAATTGATAATGGTGTATTTGCACATGTTTACACCCTTAGTTCTTATCCGTTTGCGGCTCGTAGTCGTGCATTTTGGGCCTATTTTATGCTGGGTTGTGTTACTTTGTCACATTTCAGGTCCAAGACGTTGAAGGGAAGACTAGGCACAAGTTTCGGGGCTTTTGGAGGTCATTCGGTCGAGCTGGAGTCAGAACACGGGCAGGAGGTCTGTGTACATAGATGAGCACGCTAGTGTGTGCGAGAGCTGAACCGAGGAAGAAGCAAAGCATGGCCTGGACTAGAGAAAAACACGGCCGTATCTCAGACCGTGTTTTTTTATGCCAAGAGGTTGCTCTTGGAGGCGAATGCGAAGTCCAAACACACGGGCAGAGTTTAAGAAAAGCACGGTAATGTCAATCAGGGGGCACGACTGTGTTTTATGCTAAAGCGGGAGTGTTTTTAACACGTGGCGAGAACACGGACGGGAAAAAGAAAAGCACGGCCTTGTCCTCGACCGTGTTTTACCCAGAATCGGGCTTTTGAGGCAGTTTCAAGCCAAAGGAGAGGGAATCGAGTTTTTGAGCAAAAAAAAAACAGAGTTTTAGAGAGAGAAAGTGCGAAGAACAAACCCTAGGAGCTATTTGGAGTGGATTTCTCACCATTGAAGCCCAGATTGCATTCCCAGGAGTAAAGATCGACATCCCATAGCAGATTATCCTCATCTCTATGGAGTAGAACCCTCTCTCACTTGGGTATGAAGAACCCAAGTTCCATGTGTTAGGAATCTTGATTGTAATGGCTTGGGATTTATATACTGATTGATTTAATTGATTGATGTATGATTCATTGAGTCTATTGAAGTCTGATCATCTTTTCATGATTTCTGCTACAACCTAAGATAGATAGAATCTGATTAGGTTGTTAGAGCTTCATCAATCAGTAGTGGTAGATTGGTTATACGAGAGTTAATCGATTTACTGCTTTGTACTGGAACCCAATTCCAGTAGTGGAGTTTTGTGTTTATTGCCTCAGCATTCTATTCCAGTGAAGGTTAGTCGCCTGCCGGTTAGCCTGTCGGAGAGGCCTTGGTCAGCTTAAGAGATTCCAAGCTAATGTTGGATCTTACACAGTTTAATCAATAGTTAATCAACCTAGGGTAATTACAACCTCGACCTAACTAAGGAGCTAGGGGGACTCATTCCCGAGCGACTCTTGTCTTGCTAAACTTTGAACCATTTCCTACTTTCTTACTGATTTTAGTTAAAATCACAATCACTCGACTTAGTTTGCTAGATAATAGATATTCATGGAGTAGGCAGTAGATCTAGACCCCGGGTTGACAAATAGAGCCTGTCGCTTACTGCATTTCT